TATGTATATGAGAGGAAGGAATTTAAAATTTTTGCACTTTTAACTGCTTATCACTATTGACTTGTATATTTATTATTTATATACATATAATGTTCCCGTCATGTATGCATGGACGCATACCTATGGACATATGCATGCAAAGAACAGGGTCTGAAGGATTTATTCCAAATTGCTGACAGTGGCTGCCTTTGGGGACAGAATGTGATGGGGAGGGTTTGTGCAACGCATTGCTGAATTTTTAAATAGGATGTCTTGTGTAAAGAAAACATAAAAAATATGCATGGTTTTTGACCCAGAACTACAAGTTTTAGCATTCACAGTCATGAAGAAGACAGGGTCTGTTTTCCTGGAGCTAGCAGTCCAACATGGGAGACAGACGTTTATCAGATAATGTAGCTGCAAACTGTTTCGGGAGGTAGCTCATGCAAATCTGCAACGTTGAGTGCATCCTGATTTAAGACATACTAAAATATTTCTTAGAATCATTCACAGGTGGTTGAGAGTGGTGAAAAAAGGTCTTTCTGAGCATAGGCTGTGAGTATATTAACATTAAAAACCAACGAGGTGCGCCAAGCCACATTCCAAATTGGCTGCATCATTTTGAACTCCCACCAGCAGTGAATGAGCGTTCTGGTGGCGGCTTCCCGTCCTCATCGACCCCTGGTATTTGTCAGTCTTTTACGTTTTAACTCTTCCGGGATGTGTGTAGGGGCATTTCAGTGTGGTTTTAATTTGCCTCTCTCTGATGACTAACAATGTTTAGCCTTTTATCATGCTTTTTTTTTGTTTTTAAATACAAAGTTCTCACTCTGTTGCCCCAGGCTGCAGTGCAGTGGTGTGTTCACAGCTCACTGTAACCTGGAATTCCTGGGCTTAACCAATCCTGCTTTGGTGTCCCAAGTAGCTGCGACCACAGGTGTGCACTGCCACATCTGGCTGATTTTAAAATTATTTTTATAGAGACAGAGTCTCTCTCTGTCACCCAGGCTGGTCTTAAACTCCTGGCCTCAGACAATCCTCCTGTCTTGGTCTTCCAAAGCGCTGGATTACAGGTGTGTAATCTGTAGGCCACTGCACCGGGCCTAGCCTTTTATCATGTTTATCGGCTATTTGGATATCTCTTTTTATGCAGTGCCTGTTCAAGTCTTGTGCCATTTTTATGTCGGACTGTTTTAGAGCAGTTCTGTATGCAATTGGGATGAGTCCTATGTTAGATACAGTATTGCAAACACCCTTTCTCACTTTGTAACTTCCCTTTTCACTTTTTTTTTTTTTGAGAAGAAGTCTCGCTCTTTTCATCCCTCAGGCTGGAGTGCAATGGCATGATCTCAGCTCACTGCAACCTTCGTCTACTGGGTTCAAGCAATTATCCCGCCTCAGCCTCTATCCCTTTTCACTCTTAATGGTGTCATCTGATGAAAAGTTCTGTTTTGTTTTTTGTTTTTGTTTTTTGAGACGGAGTCTCTCTCTTGTTGCCCAGGCTGGAGTGCAACGGCACAATCTCAGCTCACTGCAACCTCTGCCTCCCAGGCTCAAGCGATTCTCCTGCCTCAGCCTCCCGAGTAGCTGCGATTACAGATGCCCATCACCATGCTTGGCTAATTTTGTATTTTTAGTAAAGACGGGGTTTCACCATGTTAGCCAGGATGTTCTTGATCTCTTGACCTCGTGATCCACCCACCTTGGCCTCCCAAAATGCTGTGATTACAACTGTGAGCCACCACGCCCAGCCGTGTGTGTCTATCCGTGTGCCACTATCACAC